ATTATTTAAGTAATGTATTTCACATAATTATTAAATTAACATGAACGCAGATGATCTAGGTTGTGGATTACTCTGCTCGACCCTGCTTGGGTCAGCTAGTTGTGATTTGTGTCGTTCTAAACATGTTTGCTGCCAACAGGGAAGTTGCAGAGGACCCTGTGATGGAAAAACTATGCAACACCACCACTCAGAACAGGACTGAAGGATCTGTCGTCCCTCTCGCCGCTTCTTTTCGTAACTGTCATTTATCGGCCGTTATAAACACTGATACCGATTTATCTGCAATTAGCGCATATCAGCCGATACTATCTAGCGTGAATCACAACCAAAATATATTTCTTAGAGACTTCCACAACATTATTTATCTGTTTGTTATTGTAGGTTTTTTCCCTCTAATTTAGTCATGATTAAATCCACGTCCACCCACTATCTAGGTCTCCCCATCACACAACGCTACTAAGCTGAGAGGGTGCAGGCTAACACATGCTTCCTCTGAGACGCGTCAAGCCAGCCACTGCATCTTAGGCTACGTTTACACAGCGGGTAAGATGTGTCAGTGTGAAAAGCAAAAAACACACTGAATCTGACATTTCCAATTCCGAATTGAGACGCTTTCATATGTGGTACTGAAATCCGATACGTATCTGATCTGGGGCAATGCGACTCAGTCTGAAACAGCCAGATTGGAATTCATGCAACTTTTACGTCAATCCAACTCGGCATTCATCATAATTTTGCACTGCTGAGACAAATATTTAGGCTGATGTTTCTGAACCAAAAAACTAAAAATAGATTTATCGCAATCGCTCTGTGTTCGAAGAGGTTTCGAAAGAAATGGGCGAACGCGGCCAGAGAAGAGCGTGGCTGCAGCGTCAAGATGCTGGCGAAGGTGAAACTGAAATCTTTTCGAGCGGCTGGTGTTCGTTTATAGTCATGAATGTTTACCACTGGATGAGCCACAGGAAGCAACGTGAAGCACTGTTCTTTTGTGCATGCGGGTCAGTTTAGGAGCTGATCTGTTCAAAGTGATGTCGCATACAGATCACATTTAAAAGATAATGAGAACAGCCAAACAACAAAAATAAATAAATAAATAAATCAGATTTGGTGAGAAAATCAGATTTGGGCCACTTTTACCTGCCGTGTGAACGTAGCCTTACTGCCACTAATACAACGTCACTGAGCAGCTCAACACGCTTGCGGGAGAACGCTAACTGCCAATTCTGCCTTGTTAAGTAACAGACAGTTGCGTTGGATATCATTGTGGTAAGTGATGAGCAGAGATGGAGGACCACCCAACCCACCCTAACAGAGAGGGGCGATTATGCTCTCTTGGGCTCAGAGACTGCAGCTTTTTGACAAAACTGCCCTTTTGAACATCCGGTGTGGCACAGTATCATACAATGATGTTTGTATCATGCCATGTAAAATATTGCGAAGTGGCTGCCAACACCCAGCCCTATCCGAAGCTAAAACAATAATATTCCCTATACCATCGCAGAGAATCCTCTTTATCTAAAGCAGTTTTGTCTGCGGACTTTAGCTGAACACAAACCTCACCTAATGTTATGTAACCAACTGAACCAGGCAGTGCTTATTAGCCTTGTTATTACAGATGTGAGGCAGCTTCAGAAGCCTGCAGATCAGGATCTGTCGTTTACTTCTGTATGTCAAACTGAGGCTAGGTGGGGTATAGCCACGGTGCTGGGAGTGGAGAGGGAGTGGAGTCATGCTTTAGAGATGAGAGCACACACAGAGGCACAGCCAGAACCTTGTGCATGTCCTGGCAGGTGGGCGAACATACAGAGATGATCAAACAATGGCAACTCATCAATTTTCCAAGCTTGCGGTAAATTCACAAACTCGGGCCTGCACGCATACTCAGACAGAAGAGCAGGTCTGAACCTTGCTCGTTCTAAAGGCTTGCAATTTTGGCTTCACAATTTAACAATATTAACCATAAATTTTACAATTTTAACTATAACACAAGATTTCTGGTTGTTATGCCTAGTTATATTACTCACCTGATTAATAAAAACAGGTAGTGGTGAGTGTTCTGAACACAGGTGTGTGCATTTTGTGCACTATAAATCCATTTGACCTACTTATAGGTCAAGAGCCGTCTACAGGAGCTGTAAACACTTGTATTAACCAATTTAATTACATGGTCAGAGTCAAATATAGCCCATAATTTCATGCTACTCTTGTAGTGACTCCCTAAAACCAGAGGCTTGGCATTCATGTGGTATTAAGTGGTGCAAACTCTTGGAGGCCATAAAGAGTTGAATAGCTGTTCAAAATGCTTGACTTGTAGTCATCTATGCTCCAAATCAGAAGTCACCAACCCCGATCCTGGAGATCGACTTACTTACAGAATTCAGGTCATATTTATTGCACATTATTATTTTCTAATGAGTCATACTGACCTTAACCTCTTATTCTCCAGGCTATATTTTGGTTTGTCCATCCGACTTTACATGACCAAATCATAAGGCAAATTATTCAGTGACTGCATGAAATAAATGTAAATTTTTATTTTATATATTTATTTATTTTTTGTAAAAGTTCCCCTCAAATTAACAGAACATGTGTTTTATGATCACACATATTGCTGTATACTTACAATTTACTGCTGAGAGCCAAAAATCTTAGATGCTCTTTGTAATTCTTTATAAAAATAATTTTTGCAGAGCAGATCACTGAAGAGACGCCATCTGTTTATCGTTTATAGCCCAGATTTTTCGAAAAATGGGTCGACTTTCAGTAGACAAAAAAAAATTGAGTTCAGCTTCTTTTATTATAAGGGTTTAAAATTACATCACCCATCTATCTGACCGGAAAGAAGACAGTTACAGCTCTTATACGACACCCACCTTTTGAATGTAGCTTATGAAATATGAAAGTTATGAAGAATATGACAAAGTGCGTTTTGGAACCACCGGTGGTTCCAAGGAGTTTAAAAGATTAATGAAAACCTGGATGTGGTCTGAGTGGTGAGAGAAAAGTTGGGGGTATGTATTTTTACAGAAAGTGTTTGGGCTATTTGGTTGACTTAAGTTGTAGTGTTCGATAATCATGTTAGCCTTGTAGCTCCAGTTCTAAACTAAAGAAGCAAAATTTGGACTCCAAACATGTTTGCACTCCAAACATCTGAGTTAAGTGGGAAAACTGTGTGAATGTGATTCTTCGCCAAACTGTTGAAGTGAACCAACAATCTGGATAAAAAAAAAGTGTTCAATCAGGATTGGAAGGTAGATTTCCAGCATGTTTGTGTTACACACAAAAACTCATCTGTTCATCTACGGTGAAGTCTCGATTTTGTAAACAAACAGAATAAGCTCAGCCCTCAGGGTTGCCTGTTAGCATAGATGAGCTATACTACACATGCATGAACCCTCTACAGTGTTAGCCGCCTGTTGCATAAAGAACCCCTCTCTACGACATCCTTGACCTGACTGCTTAAATCTGACTAGCAAAGCCAAGGTAACATTACACTGCTAACTTGGCCTTTACATACAACATTTTTTCACCAACACGTGAAAGCCAGACACCGTTACAGATTCAGTTCTGAATGGGACGCAGTTAGCAGACTTAGGCTTTGTTCACACAGCAGGTAAACGTGGCCCAAATTCGATCTTCTTCTCCGTATGTGACACAGATGTGTCTGTGCGTCAGTGTGAACAGCAAAAAACGCACTGAATGACATTTTCAATTCTTTTGAAAATTTGAGACGCTTTCATGTGTGGTACTGAAATCCGATATGTATCCGATCTGCGGCAAAGTGACTCAGTCTGAACAGCCAGATCGGAATTCATGCAACTTTTATGTCAGTCCAACTCCACATTCGTCATAATTTCGCACAGCTGAGACATTTAGACTGATGTTTCTGTACCAAAAAAATCAGAAGGCACTTATCCCAACCGCTCCGTGTTGGAAGAAATTTTGAATGAAACGGCCGAACGTTTAAAGAATCCGATGACACAAACCAAAGAAATGGCCGTGGCCGAATAGCAAGCCCTTTTTACGGCAAACTCGAACATAATGTGGGTGATGAGCCCAGCTGTCAACCACTGGAACTTCATAATCGCTCCTGTAATGCTGGCGAAGATGAAACCGAAAGCTCCGGGAGTGGCTGGTGTTCGTTGGCCGTCATGATTGTTTACCTCTGGACGAGCATGCCATGCTGAAGCATTGTTCTTTTGCGCACGCGGGTCAGTTTAGGAGCTTATCTGTTCAGACTAATGTCGCTTTTAGGGCACATTTAAAAGACAATGTGAACAGCCGAACAAAAAAAATAGGATTTGGTGAGAAAATCAGATTTGGGCCACTTTTACCTGCTGTGTAAACATAGCCTAAATCACAATAACATGACCCCATTACACAACCACCTCTCTCTGGTTCGAAGCCAACTCAAGCAGATAGCTCCTGCCATTACTGTTGAATGTAAACTCGTGCAACCGCCAACTCCCACCACCCAGAGCCTTCTGATTCAGCAATGCCTTTAGCAATGTCACATACACGAAGAAGAGAGAAAGACAGATGTACCAATGTAGCTCAGCCAAAGATGAGGTAATGTGTACTTTCTTTATCAACATAGGCTAAAAAGATTTCAGATAATGCTATCTAAATCAAACTTTACAGCCTCAACCCTTCACCTCAAGCCATGGACCAATATATGCCCAAACCTTTACGATGTACTGCACACCTTTCGCAAACTACAACTCCCTTTCTCAATTTTACTGTGGATTGTGTAAAACTACTTATTTAGGTCAGGGTAACAAAACCTACCTGTGCTACCTTCACCTTCTTAAATGCTCACATTAATAGCTATCAAACAAAAATGACAAGCTTCAGCTTGAACATCCCTCTTGGAAGGAACTGACGGGAGGCAAGTCTGAGGCCGCTGAAGTTTTTACAGACTCTTTCTACAATCCCCACCACTGTTCTGAACTAATTCTCTCCCCCCCCACCCACTCTCTTTCTTTCTCTTCCATCCATACCTTTGGCGTAATGTCGGGCGAGTCGGGGTGGTCGGACAGGTTGGGCCAGCCCCCCTGGGTCTTCCTCGATGGTTTGTCCCATTGACAGCAGGCTCAGACGCTTCATCCTCAGCAAGCGAGGGCCCGTCTCCCGTGGCAACAGCCCCGTGGGCTCCACCAGCCCTCCGCTGTCCCCGGAGATGACCGTAGGGACGAGGCTCCTCAGGAACTCCATTGTGTGTGCACTTTCACTCCAGAGACACGGTCAACGCGCCCCGACCCACCATCTTCTCACAGGAAACGAACTGTCTGTAACCCAACAGACAACAGCCGCACTACCGCATTACTTGATCCAGGCCAAAAACATTCAGACAGGCTCTGCTCTCTGTCCAGAGAGAGCAGTGAGGTTTTTTTTTTTTTCTTTTTTTTTTGCTCGTTGTTTTTTTAGAAGAATGAAAAGTTGAGCTGATCTGAAAAGTTCACAGCTTTTCCTTTAGCACCAGCACTTTGTGTTGTTTCAGTAAAATCCACAAAGCCAGAGCGTTAAAAGCAGGATCCATCGCTCATGTCAACTGGCACCTGAGGCACAAGCAGGTACTTGTACTGACTGCAGTAGTGAACTGGAACATTTGACAAGTTATATATCCCGCCGTGTTTACTGCCCCCATAGAATGAGTCAAACTCACCTGTGCAGTCTCTCTCTCTAGAGCCTAGCCTTACTACCTGAGGACAGGCAGGTCGAAAAAACAAGTGAGAAATGATCACAGGTCTTCCTCTTTCTTTTACACGATGATGTAACGGTGGTGGGCGGAGTGGCACAGGTCGGGTGCCAGGCACTATCTAGGCGGAGTCAGGACATGTTCAACAGAAGATAACGCACGTCTGGGCGGACAGCCAATAAAAACTCAGAAACTAACAGCCTCCGCCCAATTCTGCCTCTTCTCGGGGGATGAGGAGAGTGGGAGAGAGGGAGGGAGGGAAAGCGCACTGATCCCAGTGTGAAGAAGGAGGGCGTGGCACCTTCAGTGCGCCTGCACACGTACTGATAACTCCACAATAACCCAGGAGATTAGAGGTGTATACTATACAGAGCACACATATGATCACAAGCTGTTCAGTCCAGTTTGATCTCCTTTCCAGTCAAAAACAATGAAACAAGTATGTCTTGTGCTATTTATAAAGCCACACGTTTTGGTTTTGGTTTCACTTAACCCTTCATAGGGCTGATGGTGTTCCACAGACTCATGGGCTGCCAGCCATGTAGCAGTCCTCAAGATCTACTACGGTTTACAGCTACATACATTTCTAGCTGAAATGAAGGTGTACACTGAAACGGTCAGCTAAGCTATTCATAAGCTGGATGTATATTTTGGTTACTGTTTATGTTCACACATTAAAAAAACAAACATTTGCAAGTACACAGTCATCCAAGTTAAGTACTATTTGGTTGGGATTCATTTTCCATAAGGAGTTATTGTACATTGGCTTGATTCAGATCACTTCAAGTGTCTCCATATCAAGGAAAGCTGCCAAAACTTCCACAGAATTGTTACTGTCATGTCGATTCACATGGGATTATTATAGCTTGGGGTTTTTTATATAGTTCATCTTGTAGTAGGCGAAAGGCACAGAAATAGTTACTGAGACAGGTGTGCAGTCCATAAAAATGACTGAAATGGCAAATTCAGGCAGAGCTAAAATCACTAAGAAACACCAGGAAACTGCCTTTTTTTTTTTTTACCCCACCGCCCCATGCAAAACGAATGTGTCTGTATAGTATTTTTCACTATAATGGGAACCACTGGACATAACCCTTTTTAACATTTATCCTTAAGCTATAAATCATTCTGAATATTCCCTTGTTTAGGCTTTAGCAGCCAAATCATATCAGAGGAGGGAAAAATCTGAAACGTCCTCGTTTTAAACTCACTTTACAAGCTGATTTTGATGGAATAGTAAGTCCATCCTTTGATTCCACTTTCAGTTGTCAACTTTGCAGTTTCTTATTCAATTGACAATCTTTTCAACTTGCTGAGATAAACTTCTAAAGCTGTGCATTAAATCCATTTCTTAACTGCTTACTCTAACAGTATGGAACATACAGCATATATTCTGTGTTTACAGTACTATGCTTATTGCTTACATTTATATAAAAAATATTATTTATATATAAAATATATAAATATAAATATATATGCACACATACTACATACATACATACATATATATATATATATATATATATATATACATACGTGTGTGTGTGTGTGTGTGAGCAACACTCATTTTCAAATTATGTCAAAAATCATATAGATATATTTGGTAGATACCAAAGATATAGATATATATATTCCATAGATATATTAGATATGATGCACATTTGCACTGTCTGTTTTGCACTATAGCTACGATTAGCATTGTGTATTGTGAGTATTATCAGTACGTTTAAAACACTGACAAACTTCAAATCATACAGACAGCCATTATCTTCACTGGTGCACTTTGCCTCATTATGATATTCTGCATTGTAAAAATGACTTATACTGTGACGTGATATTTTTGGCATATCCCTCACTATTAGGGAAAACATTTAGTGCGCATGCATGCACAGAACCAATGCCATATGTGCAGGATCAACTTAATTTGGCGCACAAAACAGACCAACATCAAAACCATGCTGAAATCATAAGTACGTCACTGTGACAGAGGCTTTTAAACTTCTGCAGGCTAAAACAGAAGCAGCTTAGCGAAGGAGTTGCTGGAAATTGTTTAGGTAATGCAGGAAAAGTTCCTTTTTAGTTAAATCAATGACAGGGTCCGTCCTGGGAGCCATTTTACATAAAGGCAGGGCTGATTGTGCTGACTCACTGCTACACATTCAAATGAGTCTCTGCTTTTGCTGACAATGTACATCGCTATAATGCCACCAAACTCCGTCTGCCCAGCCCCCATTCAAAACAATACAGCACTGGCAGCTACACAATGCCACACGCAATGCCAGACTCCCCTGAATAGTTTGGGGTTTAAACCCATGCAATAGTTGAACGGTGACAGGTGTGAGTGTCAACATTTTGTTGAACAGCAAAGGAAACGAAAACGAAATAGCAGGTTAAGCTGTTTTAAGCATTCTTCGTGCAGCATCTCTCATACTTTCTATATGAAGGTAGTCAATAGTTCATTACTGGTCCAGGGCCTAATGTGGCTGTAAAGTCAGAAGATAACACAGAGATTAGAGAAGTACAGCTGCAGTATTGAGTTGGGAACACCTGACACAGCAAAAACTATCAGGTGTGATCCACACCGCCACCTGGAGGACAAAGTAGAACTGCATGTGACCATGACAGTATGATCTTATACAAACAGCCTACTTGAGTACCGTACAGTAAAAGCACTGACTCCAGAACAGGGGGAGTCAGAAACAATGCGAGAGAGTGAGCGACTGAGAGGATAAGAGTGAGAGAGAGAGAAAGACTGCCCTTATGTGTGTAAGAAGGCTCTCACAGGAAATGCTCACACCCTCTGTATCGTGTGAAAATGTCAGTCCAATGATGTAACGGCTTCAGCTCCATCATTCAATGTGTGAACACCGTTCAGCACACACAGTGCCGCACTCTTTCAGTGGTCTGAAGTTGGTTTCAACTTCTCGAGCAGCTATTTATCCAAACTTCCCGACCCACCTTAAATGGTACCATGCCTGAAAAGCGGCAAAACTAACTGCTGCACCATTTAAGGTGGAACGAAAAAAAGTTCATGTAAGAAGCAACATCACATTTTTTTCTGTGAAAACTCAAACGCTGCTCCACAAAAAACACCACCACAGCATTACATAAGCCCTAAGCAGCAGCAGCAGAGTGAGAAGAACGAGCAGACAGTATGTGTGTCACTGATCTCTGAACAATTCTGCCCTCTAGCAACAGCTAAGGGCACTGCCCCAGATGGGCTTCGAGCCAGAATCTATATGTCTTCTACTTCCCTTTCAAAAAAGCCAGACTGCTTAAAAAGTGTGATTCAAGAAAAGGTGAAATGAAGATAAAAGAGAGAATCCGCCTAAAAGCCTAGCACAACATCTTACATACAAACACTGAAAAACATACCGATTCTGACACTACGCGCACTTTAAAAAGCAGACATCACCACTTACACATGCTTATGATCCTTCACTGACCTACAACTAGGCCTGGTTTGTGAGTGTGAATTATTGTGGCGGGTGGATGTTTTGTGTGGGACTGTTTTATTGACGCTGTCATGGCAAGAGAAAGAACTAAGTGGACAGGAGGGATAGAAGGGAATGAAGGAAGACAGACAGAAATAGGTAGCTGATAAGGCAAGCGGGCAGCAACACGTTTAAGAAAAATGAGGAACAACTTTGTTTCCTCCTTTTTCTTCTCGAGTTAGATAAAAGTAGAGGCTTGTTTATCTGCGCATCTGACTTCACATGAACTCCAGGAAACATGATTCTTTCAGTAAGCACACACGAGCTGAAGAAATGTTTTATGAATGAAGATTGTTTCATTTAGGAGCAATATAACTCAAAAGGTGCCCAGTAGAAATTAAGGCCAAACCAATATAAAACATTTGCACACTAAGACAATTTAAGGAGCTAAAAATTCCAACAACCAGTAACGTAAGCTGCTACAATTTAATATGTTTAAACATTAAGCTGACTCCAAAAGGTTTAGTTAAACGGTCCTTCACTGATTGATATGATTGTCAATTCTCTACTATCACATTGTGTGAGCTCAGAAATTCACAAAATCCTCAAGGCCACAATCTCAGTTGATAATTTCAGCACCAATACCACTTTTTCCCCTTCCAATATCGATACCAATACTTTATCCTCAAATATTTGCCAGTACTGAGTACAGATACTGATCCTAAAGCCCATTTCACACCAGACGCAGTAACCGTTCGCAGTGCCGTGCGCAATACGCTCCAATATTAATCAATGCAGCCTTTAACACCGGCCGCGGCGCATCACGCTAGTAGTTTCCATGCAGAAAACAGCAGAGAAATGCAATGTCTATGCTATAATACACAATCTAGCCTAATAAATAAGTCAACGAATCCATTTTAACTCTGACAGGTTGACTGAAATCCTTCGAGTAGGTTAATGTGAACACAGTCATCTCCTCCTCTTCATATAGAGCTACATCACCTGATGAGAAAGCCAGCAACCGTGAAGGCAGCTAGTCAAGATTTTACTGTTGATCTCTTTATGTCATCTACATAAAGCTTGTACGTGTCATAAACGGCCAATACAGACATTTATATTACGTGAAAACGCAACATAAACCGCTACCGCTCCTGCTTCACGACGCATGTGTCACGTCCGGTGTGAAACACCAAGCATCGCAGAATGGTTTGTCGCATTTGGTGTGAAGTAGGCTTAACTCTCTCCTACCTAACTAGCTAACTAGAATGGATATTTACACCACTGCACTGTGTTGAACTCCTTCCTGATTGTGTCTCCATTCTAAATACCGAAATTAGAATGAGCACTGTTACAACTACTTGTCTCAAAGCGTGAAATAATCCCACCCTGTCAACATGACGCTTGCTTCAGTTGACCTCCATCTACAGAAATTACTTTATGTTATCGGTATTCTCTATGGGTTGCTGATCCCAATACTGTATTTAAAGCGGAACTATTAAGATTGTTAAAATTGAAAAAAGTAGGGAAAAACACTATATTATGGTTTGCATGCACTGCTGTGAGTCACCCAGTAAAGGCTGAAAGTTAGGTCTCAAAGCAGCACTGCATGCAGTTAAACATTTCC